TTTTTTTGGGGGGGGGTCCGGTCATGGGGCCTGAACTCTGGGCCTGGGCGCTGTCCCTCAGCTCTTCAGATCAAGGCTAGCGCTCTACCACTTGAGTCACAGCGCTACTTCCGGCTTTTTTCTTTTTGCTTATGTGGTGCTGAGGAATCGAACCCAAGGCCTCATGCATGCAAGGCAAGCATCTGAGCCACCTTCCCAGCCCTAATTTTGGATTCTTAACTGATGAATTAGGACTTTTTTAATGTCACTAGTGACAGAAACTCAAGCTAACTGAGGCAGGGTTGTATGTATCTGAAAACTTCAAGGAGCTCACAGCTTCAAGCACATGTGGGGATATAGGTTACAAAAAAAAATGTCTAAGTTAGATGACTATGACCAGTCTATCCTAACAGTTAAGTTTTTCTTCCCAGCTTTATCTCAGGTTCAGCCGTTCCCAGAATTGTTTTTCTACCACTTGAGTTATACTTCTGGTTCTTTTTACTTTTAGTTAGGTATTTTGTTTGTTTGTTTGTTTTTTGTTTTCCAGATAGTGTCTTATGTCTGCTTCCTCCTCCCCCTGGGTCTTGCCTGGACTGTAATCCTCCTATTTGCATTTTCCATTAGCTGGGATGACAGGCACACATCTAGCTTTTCTGGGTTGATAGTTCTCAAGCCATGACCCTCCGTTTCATAGTGGAATGAGCCAGGCCACGTGGGAGTGGAGTCTAGCAGAACCACTTTGTCAAGGCACAGTACTCATGTAACTGTGCCATAGAGAGAGGTGTTGTAAAGATGGCCTTGTCAAGAACAGGCTCCAGAGAAAGGAGGCAAGGAGACCGTTTATGAGCATTGCTATTTAGTCCTTTCCAGAAGAGAGGACACTGTGACCAATAGCTATGAATGTTTACATCCTGTTGCTAAGCATAATCTAATTATGGAGAAAGAAGAGTTCGACCCATCTCGGCATAATTCCCTCCAACACGATGACTGTGCACCTCCTCACAACCTTCTGATTGCAATTCCTCCCCAGCTAGGTCTGCTGCTTATAGGCACAGAATGAGTGAACCATGCTTAAATGAATCTCTTGCCATGGAAGGCGATTCTCATTTCCTGTCATCCCAGTGCTGTGATTTTGTGCAGTAGCCTCATGATATTAGATAGTGTGAAATTTCTCTTTGGGAGCGGAAACTACTTTGTTTAGTTTGGTCATCCATGAAACTAATACTGACCTGGAGGTCTTGCAGAGGGGGAAATTCAGCCAATTGAAACTCCCTTGGCATTGGCCCCAGATCCCAACTTCCATGCCACTCAGCCAGCATCTCTCCAGGGTGTCATAAGGACACATAGAAGAGGGCTTGCCAAAGACTCTTTGGAGTTACAGAGCCCGTGTCAGTCCCCTTGTTGTGACTAAATACCAGTGACAACTTAAGAGAAGGTGGGGTTTATTTTGGCTCCTGATCTTGGAAGTTTCAGTGTGTGGTCCCTAGGCCCTATGGTTGGGTCTCCAGTGGCAGAGTAGTACCTCATAGAGAGGAGGACTGCTCACCTCATATCAGCTGGGAAACAAGGTTGGACAGAGAAGGGTATCCCTGCACTGTGATCCTCCTATTCTCCAGTGTCCCCTTTAAAGCCATACCTCCCCCTGCCCACAATGACCTAGTTTCCTCTCCTTAGGTTCCACCTCCTCAAGGTTCCACCATCTCCCCAAAACACCGCAGGCTGATGACTAAACCTTCAACACATGGCCTCTGAGTGCATTCCAGATCCAAACCACATGAGCTTCCCTCTCTGAAATTTCCCAGCCTACAGAACTCACTGAGAGAGTTGAAAACATTTCTGACATGACTTAATCCTGCTTACTGTCTACCTTAGACCTGTTTCCTTCCTGATAGAGTGGGAAGAATGGCCAAAGCCAAACCATCCGCCAACCACGTAGAGGAAAGTTTTGAGAAAGGTTTGAGAAGCTGAAGAAAATTCTAGAATGTTCTCACCTATGCCATGTTTGGGCCAACAACAGAGCTAGTGCTACTGTTCCCTGCCTTATTTACTGTGTTAGACTTCAGGGAGTTTGCGGAGCAGAGGTGAAGAGGGAAGTATGAAAGCTGCCCAGTAGGAGGAGGACAAGGGCACTTTTGTCATTTACAATAGAAAAGCTAAGTTACACTCAGATCTGATGGAGGCAAGGCTTTCAGTCCTCTAAGAGAACTGCTCCACAGTGTTTGTGCTTAGGGCCTCTGAATTCCCTGGATACCACAAAGGCAGGAATGGCAGGTCTCTGTGTGAGTCACCGTGAAGCGCTGTGCTTCATCTGTCAGCTCTTGTTGCATAACAACTCCCCTGAAACAGTGCTCAGAACAGCTTACTATTTCCCAATTATTCTTTGGCTTCAGCAGGCAGTTCTGCTGCTGGTCTTATATCAGAGAGCAGCTTGTGTGATGAAGTCTTAGTTGCCCCAACGAAGCAGTGTTCAGTGGTTGAGCTCTTGGGAAATGATTCTATCTTCCGGGCTCCAGCCTAACCGATGGGTTCATCTATGGATGAATTTATAACGTTATGGACCATTGGGAGGGGTTGGAAATTGTAGGAGATGGGGCCTAGTTGGAAGAAGTTAGGTCACTCTGAGGTGTGCTCTTCAAGATGTTTCTCATCCTGTTCTTTCCTTCCTTTCTGCTCTCTCGGCTTCTTTGTCCCTGTAAGGTGAGCAGCTTTGCTCTGCCCTGCCCTTCTGCTGGCTATGGATGAAAACCTTTAAAACTATGAACCTAAATAAATCTTTCCAGGTCGAGTGTCGGTAGCTTCCACCTGTAATTCGAGCTACTCAGTAGGCTGAGATCTGAGGGTCAAAATTCAAAACCAGCCCAGGCAGAAAAGTCTGTGAGACTCTATTTCCAATCAGCCAGCAAAAAGCCAGAAATGGAGATGTGGCTTAAGTGGTAGAGCACTAGTTCTGGGCAAAAAAGCTAAGAGGCTGGGTGCCCGTGGCTCACGCCTATAATCCTAGCTACTCAGGAGGCTGAGATCTGAGGATCATAGTTCAAAGCTAAGAGACAGTGTCTAGGCCTTTGCTTTTTCATTTCCTTTCCTCTTTCCTTTCCTTTTTTTCCCTCCCGTTGATTCTTTTCCTCAGGTACTTTATCATAGTACTTAACTAATAAGCTGACTAACACTTTTTGCCTGAGTTTACTCCTTTGTTGTTGTTGTTGGTGGTGGTGGTGGTTGTGGGGCTTAAACTCAGGGTGTGTGAGCTATCCTTGAACTCTTTTGCTCAAGGCTAGTGCTCTACCACTTTGAGTCCCAGCACCACTTTCAGTTTTCTGGAGGCTAATTGGAGAGAAGAGTTTTAATGGACTTTCCTGCCCAGGCTGGCTTTGAGCCATGATCCTCAGATCTCATCCTCCTGAGTAGCTAGGATTACAGGTATAAGTTATCAGTCCCTGGCCTGCTAGGCAAGCATTCTATCACTAGGCCTCTATTCCCAGCCCTGGCCTGAGTTCATGCTTAGGGCCATAGATACTACAGGGTCAGCCAGTGTTTTGCCTCTGTGAACCTGCCTTGATCTCTTTCTCCATGTGGTCTTTCATCCCAGATCACGGTCTCAGTTGCAAGAAGGTAAGCCCAGGTACACGAGAAGTTATCAAGGTCTTGCCTGTATCAGGTTTGCTGATGTCTCATTGGGCCAAGTGAATCACATGGCCAAGTTTAGCATCAGCATGGAAGGAGTCTTGCAGGAGCATGCGTACTGAAAAGGGTCATCATTGTTATCATCTACCATGCATTTTAGATGTTCCTTTAGGCTGGAATTCTAGTAACACAGTGTGACAATTCTGAGCATGTCATGTTGCGCAGAGACATGATATGCTCTTGATGTCCCTAAAATGTCTGAGTTCTATTGGGTGGGGCAAATGCTGTGACCAGATCCTCCCTCTGGGATCCCTAGACCTCTGGGTTGAGGACACATACATACACTTGACAGATTTTGGTACAGGAGAATGATGCTTTTGCTTATTTAATTTGATTGCTTATTAGCTGTATAGCCACAACTCTGGATTGTGTGATTTCCTAAGGTCATGTTGAACTCTCAATAATTGGGGTTAAAGTCTGGATCAATGTTGAAACAGAAACTCGAATAGAAAAATAATCATCAGCCAGATGGAATGAATTATTAATTCACAAATGCAGCATGCTCAGTAATAAAGCCTCTGAGAGTGTAAGTGGGGTGTGGGAAATTGAAGGACCTTAGAGGTAAGGTACGGGTTTCTGGGGTGTGTGGTAGACCCCAAAGGTTAAGAGCTTGCAGTCAGATAAACTTTGCAAATTACCCAACCTCTTTTAAGTGCTAATTCCTCATCTGTACAGCAGGATGAATGATATTGGGGAGAGCTAGGGGCTCAGAATATTCATAGATGGGCAGTAAGCACCATCAAAGGAGATGTTGACTATTACCTCTATTAGCTTTGGTTGAAGTAGGCTAGAAGCAAGGTTAATACCTCTTCCATTATAGGTCAGGTGTACATTTTTTTTCTGTTTACTCAAGACTAGCTTCCTATCAGTCATTCATATGAACCTTTTTTGTTGTTGTTATAATCATTAGGACTTTAGTATGAAAGATTTCTTTCTTTTTTTTCCTCCAGCAGTGTTCATTGTAAATCAGAGGAGAAAGCAAGGGTTGTCTGTCCCACATAATACATCATGTAAAATTGCTTCATTAGGGCGCTCTTTCAGTCTTCCCCCTTCTTCCCCCTCTTGGCAGTACTGGGGTTTAAACTCAGAGCCTTGGGCTTCTTAAACAATCACTCTGACCACTGAGCCACACCTCCAACCCTGATTTTTAATGGTTGTTTTTTAGATAGAGTTTTGTTTCCTGTTGGGGTGAGTCTGGGTGTGATGCATCTATGTTATGTTTCTTGGTAGCTAGGATTACAGGCACCCACCATTATGTCCATAATCTTTGTTGACAATGCGTCTCAAACTTTTTCCCTGCCCAGGCTGGCCTCCAGTGTTAGGCCCAAAAATTTCAGCTTCCCAAGTGGCTGCGATTAAAGGTGTGAGCCATGGGATGCCAGCTTCCCATCACCTCTTAAGCTAGTCTTGAATATATCTATTTGGGTTGGTTTGGGTCCATCTTAATGACAAAAGCTCTTTGGGGGGACCCTAATTAACTTCTGAGTTGCTTTCTTCAACCTTCAGAGTGAATGCAATCTCCCATTGTTACTGAAAGAACCCACAAAACCCCAGAATATCTTGTGACAACTTCTCCCAAGTTCTTTGGCACCCAACATTGTGCCAAGGAGACATAGGACCAGCCTTCCTCTGAATGGGCTCATTTCTGCAGTCATTCCTTCCGGCTCATGACTTTCTTCTTTTGCTGCCCACGGATGCTGAAAATAACTTGTTTTCTGGCAAGCCTGAAATGAGATTCCTTATGATTTAATCAGATCCATAATGAAGCTCTTCCAGCTTTCAGGAGCAAACATCTAGAATGGCTGGGCTGGTTCGGGGCAGGTTACAGGACAGGCCACAGGGAGGAGGAGTCTGAATATCGCACTTGGAAAATTGCCCCCTGCACAACAGCTGGGGTTCTCCCCATCACTGGCCAGGACTCATGGCCCTGTCTGGCACAGTTCTGTGGTATAGGTCATGTGGGCTGTGCAGTTCCCATCCCTTAGCCCAGACCCAAGGCTTAAAGATAGTGGGTGCGATATTGATTGCTCTATGCCATAGCCAGCAAGAGGCAGTGTCCTCCAGATACAGAGACCAGGATGGGTTCATCTTGGCTAAAGCCAGGTTGTGCTTGGTGTTCATTGAGAAGGTAATAGCTCCAGATGAGAGAAGAAGCTGGGAGCAGCATGACAGGAAGTTGGCTAAAGAAGGAACAGGTCTCAATCAGCCCGTCACCCCTGCAGAATTCCCTCTACCAGCATATATTGGATTCTCCAGCTCCTAACATTGTGTGTGTCTATGCACCAAATTACATATCCTCTCAACAACTCTGAACCGAGGCTAGGTGCTAGTGGCTCATGCCTGTAATTCTAGCTACACAGGAGGCTGAGATCTGAGGATTGAGGTTCAAAATCAGCCTAGGCAGGAAAATCTATGAGACTCTTATCTCCAATTAATCCCCCCCCCCAAAGCCAGAAGTGGAGTTGTGGCTACAATAGTAGAGTGGAAGTGGAGGTGTGGCTCCAATAGTAGAGCCCTAGCCACCTCACCTTGCAGGTGGATAAACGGAGACATACCACAGTCTAGAAACGTATGCACACAAGAGACAGAGCCAGGACCGTCTGCCTGCAAGGTTTAAGTTTCCAGCCTAGTGCTGTAGCATGTCTCAAACCTGGAGCATTTATCCCTCTCCACCAGCCTGGTTGTTCCCCCACCCCCCATCACTGGTACCTGGCAAGGTGAGGGTGCAGGTAGAGCATCCTCTTTGAGCAAGGAGTCTGAAGAACATGCTGAATGCCCATGGCCTCCTGGCTGCTCTGACTCAAGCTCTTTCCCTGGGAGATCTGTCAGATAAAGTGATGGTTTAGACTCAGGCTTCCCCAGGAAGCAACTAGACATCATTGGTATTGAGACATGGATAGTCCTGGATGACTTTCCATCATTCTCTATAGGAGAAGACAGAGAAGACATCTCCCTCTGTCTGAAGACAGATGCCACGTTAAAGGTCACTCCCACCTGACCTTTTTTTTTTTTTTTTTTTAGCAGTACTAGTATCGCAGGTACTCTACCATTTGATCCATGCTGCTCAGCCCCCAGCTGACATTTTTCAAAAGTATCTGCTGGTATTAGGTGCTTGGGAAACATTGTATGGCAATAATTCTGGGCCTCAGAAAAATTTCTTTTTTTTTCTTTCTTTCAGTTGTGGGGTTTGAACTCAGGACCTAGGCTCTGTCCCTGAGCTTTTGCTCAAGGCGATTGTTCTACCACTTTGAGCCACAACTCCACTTTCTGTTTTTGAGTGGTTAATTGGAGGTAAGAATCTCATAGGGACTTTTCTGTCCAGGATGGCTTTGAACCATGATCCTCAAATTGTAGCGTCTTGAGTAGTTAGGATTACTGGAGTGTGCCATCAGTGTCCAGCAGAAAAACATTTAATTAAGAAAAATATATTCACATTTGGGTCCCAAAGAGTCCAAGTACTTCTTATTTTAAGATAGTAATGTCACCGGGCATTGGTAGCTCACACCTATAATCCTAGCTATTCAGGAGGCTGAGATCTGAGGATTGTGGTTCGAAACCAGCCTGTTCAGGAAAGTCCAGGAGACTCTTATCTCCAATGAACTGCCCAGAAAGAGCCAGAAGTAGCACAGTGGCTCAAGTGGTAGAACACTAGCCTTGAACCAAAGAGCTCAGGGACACTGCCTAGGCACTGAGTCAAGAGAGTAATGTCACCACTCACGATTATAATCCTAGCTACTCAGGACACTGAGATTTGAGGATTTCAGTTCAAAGCCAGCCCAAGTAGGAAAGTCTATGAAACTCTTATCTCCAGTTAACCACCAGAAAACCAGAAGTGGCAATGGCTCAAATAGTAAAGTGCTAACCTTGAGCCAAAGAGCTCAGGGATAGCGTCCAGGCTCTGAGTTTAAGGCCTATGATGGACAGAAAGAAAGTAATGTCATCTCAGTATCTTTGGTGATGAGATACTTTGTTCAGTAAATTGCTAGTTTCCAGCTATACCACCCTCTCCAGGAGGTTCTTTGTTGGTGAAATTGTTTTTCACTAAAAGAAGCTTAAGGTTAGGCACTAATTGGTGGGAGAGAGTTGGATTTATGTAGATGGATCTGGTAGGTAGGTCTGGGGACATGTCAGAGGCACCATCTTTGTCTCAGCCGCTGAAAATATCTTCCTAAAAAGCCCACACAAGTCTGTAGATTTCTTAAAGTTCCATTTTTGGCAAGTATATTCTGGTCCTGGTGTGCTCTGGCTAATAAACAGCTTCTGACTCACGGCACTGGGTGGCTGATCCTCGTGGTGACCCCGTGTGTCCTCAGGGCACAGCTGGTGGCGGGGGGGGGACCTGACATCCCCAACTGGTCTGAGCTCACCCCATCTTTCCAGGACAACGTGACCCTCAGGCCTCAGTGGGACCCTCGGGCACTTTCGTGGTCAGCTTGGGCTGCCTAACGAACTTTACAGACAACGTGGCTTAAGCAACAACTCTTGCTTCCTTACAGTTCTGGAGGCTGGAAGTTCATGTTCAAGGTTCTAGGATGGTTGGTTTCTGGGGAAGACTCTCCTTACTGTATGGAGGGAGGAGAAGACAAATGAAGAGAGGAGAGGAGAGGAGAGGAGAGGGGAGATAGACAGAGGGGGGGGAGAAGGAGAGAGGGAGAGGGAGAGAGAGAGGGAGAGGAAAGAGAGGGGAGGGGAGAGGAGGAAAGAAGAGGAGAGAGCACTTTCTGGTATCTTAAGGGCATTAATGCCATCCTCATAAACTCATGTATACCTAACTAGCTTCCAAAGGCCTACCTAGCTCTCCAAATAGCACCACAGTGAAAGTTAATACTTTAATATATGAACTGGGGGCAGAGACACAGTTAAGCCACAGCAGATACGTTCTCAGTGGCACAGAAGTTGATAGAGATCCTGCAAGGCTTGCTGCATGGAAGGCAAGTCCACTACAGACTAGAGGAGCTCAGGGGGGTCCCCAGGTCTTGGCAGAACTTTGGACCTATCATTTTGTGGGGGAAGAATCTTGTTTCTCTGGGAGTGGGGGTGGGCAGAATGGGCACAGGGTAGATGGAGTAGAGGAAATTTCCTCTCTACACTGTCTTGTCTGCCATCACAGGAAGGGTGACTTCAGGAAAGAACACCAGGCAGCCGGCTGGGTCTCTGCCCTTCCTCATGTGGCTCTAAGACTCTTCCCTTTCCTGTCTTGTCGGATGGCTCAAGGCTTCAAGAGCAAGTGTTGAAGGATGTAGGAAGCTGCCAATTTCTTGGGACACAGAACCCCCATAGTCTACTCAGATTGCAGGGGAAGTGGGTGCTGGCAGGTGTTTGTTGGTCAGTCTGCTAAAGGAGCTATGCAGTGACGTTTTGGTACTGGTCTCTCAATCATGTCATAGCTCACCTTGGTACTCTTGAGTTTCCCTAGGCTGGGGTGGGAGGTAGGGAACAGGAAGTGACTGCTATTGGACAGGAGGCTGCTGTGTGTGTGTGTGTGTGTGTGCGCGCGCGCGTGTGCATGCGTGTGTGTGTGTGTGTGTGTGTGTGTGTGTGTGTGTGTAGGATGTTGCAATGTTCTGAAGTTGGTTATGGCAATGCTTGTAGCGGCTCTCGTGTAGCCAATGACCAGGCCTTTTCTTTCTGTTATATCCACCAGCTTGAATGTAAGCTATGCATGGAACATTTACATGCACAGGTAGCTATCTTACAAAGGGAAAAAAGAGCAGGTGAAATTCATTTTAGTACTATATTTTCTTTAACCCAGCAGATCCAAGATCAGTAGGAAGCTTTTGCTAGAAATTTTTTCACTTTTCTTTTTTGTTGTTGTTGTTGTTTTTGTCAGTCCTGGGGCTTGAACTCAGAGCCTGGGTGCTGTCTGTGAACCTTTCTGCTCAAGGCTAGTGCTTTACCACTTGGAGCCACAGCTCACTTCTGGTTCTTTTGATAGTTAATTGGAGATAAGAATCTCAGAGACTTTCCTGCCTGGGCTGGCTTTGAACTGATCCTCAGATCTCCTGTAATTAGGATTACAGGTGTGGCTTGTTTTTGTTTTTGCTTTGTTTTGTTTTTGCATATGGAAGAAATCCCACGTGGCTTGTAACTACTACTGGGGTCTGGATTCAGAGTCCCTGTACCACTGGGATGAAGTGTCTCAGTTTTCAGTAAGGGAAGGAGTTTTGTTCTTTCTATTCATATCCCTCAGCTCATAATCTACAATCCCAAAGTGACATCTAGGGTCTCCATGCTGGCTTCATTCCCACCCAGGGGACCTTCTCTAGATGCTCTCATCGATGTCCTCTCTCTTGCTCAGAGTACCCACATCCTTTTGGGGGTCTGTCTGATTCCCCTTGTCTTTCCCCTGGCTGCCCCTCACCCTGTTCAGGCATACAGCCCTGCAGTTTAGAAGCAGCCAGGCCTGGATGCAAGTCTGCCACTCACCTGCTATGTGACTTTGGGCAAATCACTCAACCACTCTTGAGTTCCAGCCTCCTCCTCCTTCCTCCTATCATGGGATGTTGGTCTCCGCGTGTCTCATTTCTGTCAAAGCCCAGCTGGTATTTGAGCCAACCCTGACCTAAGCAAATCCTAGATGACCCCAACCCACTGAGGGCATGCATGTGATCCTGCAGCCCCAAGCTTCCTCTACGACATGGCTGCCAACCCCAGATACCTGTGATGCTCCAGTGAGCTGGGTCCACTTTGGGTTCTGGCTGGGCCAGCCTGATCCTGGTGGGGATTTGAACTTCTGTGGGTCTTTCCTTGGGGGTAAGGTCCTCTACTCCCCCACTTACCCCAGCTGACCTGCATCCATCCCCTGCAGTCCACCTGAAAACCAAGATGGCAGCTCTTGGCTTACTCTGGCACCTCCTTGGCTTCAGATCTCTTTTCTGGCCCCTGAGAGGACAGCATCAGTCCTGGCCAAGCCCAGCCCACTTGGGGTCCTAAGTCCAGTCCATGGCTGTTGGTAGACCTAGCTCTGCGGCCTCCTCACTCTGGCTTCCTGCCCTCTGCTTAGGGGTGGCCTGTGCTCAGGCTGACAGCCTCAGCCCCACGAAGCATCGTGAGGTGTGGAAAAGGGATGCCAGGTGACCAGTGACCCTGAGCCAGAGTCCCCTATCTCACCGCTCAGTGGAGACAGAGCGGCGTTTGCATATTGAGTGTGGAGCTGGGCCAGCTGCACAGGAAATTATATAAGACAGAAATGGTAAACAGCCTCTTTACAGGAGAGCAGACTGAGGCCTGTCCGGGTCTCCCAGCTCCTAAGTGATCAAGTTGGATTTTGACTCCATCAGATGAATGCTAAGTTTGTGGTCCTGAATACTGCCACTTTACCAAGGAGCAGGAAGTTCTGACAGGAAGTCCTCAGCTGCAGATCTGGGGCCTGGGGCACAGTGAGAGCCCCTGTGACTTCCAGTGGCCCAGTCACGGCTGACCCTTTGTCCCACAAGCCTCCCGGCAGAACAGATGTGAGCTGGTTGCCTCCTCTGACAGTAGATCTGGAGGGACCTTGGGATTTCTCCTGGGTGGAGGCAGTCTCAGAGAGTGAGCAGTTAGAGGAAGAAGGAGGCTAGCAGCAGCGTGTGAGTGGCTAGGGGTGGCCTTGACCTGCCTTCAGCATGAGGAACACGGACACAGAGTCTAGGGGTGCTGCAGGTATCCTTTCCTGCTCTTCCCCTGCCCCCCGCCCCCGAAATGTCAGTCAAATTCAGTCTTTGGAACTCTCTGGAGTCCAGTCTCTGGACTGATTCCTGGCATGCCCAGCCTCTGCCTGTCACCATGGCATCCTTTGGGGGCTCTGATGTTTAAAAGGAGTGAGTGTTGGGGTTAACACAAAGGTTTCTTGCATTCTCCGCCCCCTCCCCCCTTCACCTCCCCCCCCTGCCATGGGCTCAAGTTCTGAAGCAAGAGTGCTTTTCTAGGCAATCTGAGCCATGCACAGATACCATCATAACCTGGAAGACACCCCACTCAGGGTCATCCTGCTGTCTAGACCCTTGCTTCTCTCCTGCACTTGCAACCACAGGCAAAAGTTGTATAAACAAAGTCCTCAGAAGGCAGCTTCCTGGGGAGAAGATAACCAGGGTCTGACCACAGGCACCTCCAGCCACAGGTGGCCCACTTCCTTCCCTCCCTGTCTGCAAAAAGTGAACTTGAAGCTTGTTGAACTTGAACGTGAAGGCGGTCCCTTTTCTCCTCAGTACCAGACGTGCCTGCTAGCAGGTTTAGCTATCTGTGTGATGTGAGAGAACTGAGAACTGGGACTCCTTTGCTGGGCTGGAAGGAGTGTCCCCTTTCTGTCCCCAGAACTCCCAGCCATGCCTCCTGCCTCTCTGACTCTATGCTGACAGAAGGAACTAAGCCCTATTCTGTGCATGTTAGCTGTGTGTCTCTGGGCCTGTTGCTCTGACGCTCTGTGCCTCAGTTTCCTCAAGTAGACAGTGATGGTAACCATCACAGCCATCTTGATGGAACTCTGAGACTATGTGTGAGCCCACCTGGACCACAACTGGCCTATGGCAAGTGCCCAGTAGAGTTCATTTCCATCATCTCTGCTGGGGAACCCGGATGAGATGAGAATCTTCTGTTTAACAAATAATTCTACTCTGAGGCGTTTCCCTGAGAGAAATAAAAACATATCCATGCAGAGCCTTACCCAAGCTTTTTAAAAAAATAATAATAGCTTCCAAATGGAAACGACTCAGATGTCTGCTTATCCTGGTAAATGTGTTAATAGATGTGGTATAGCCATTCCATGGAACGTTATTTGGTCAGGTAAAGGAGAGAAACGGTGACACGTGCTGCAATTTGGATGAGCTTAGCTAAGTCGCGTGACTCAGAAGGTCACTTACTGTATGGTTCTTTCCACAGGCTGATTGCAGAACAGGCGAATCTATAGCGACAGAAAGTAAATGAGGGGGGGAGGAGGAGAGGACTGACTGCGAATGGGTGTATAATTTTTTTAAGTTGATTGTGGTATTGATTGTACAACTCTGTTTCAGCCATTGAATTGTAACTGTAAATAGGTGAATTACATGGTATATGAATTGTTATCTCAATAATACTGTTGAAAATGCAGTGTTCAAGAGAGACAAAGGGCATACTAGATATCACTTGCCAGTGGCCCTGACTTGAATTCCTTCATAAAGATCCACCTGCTTCATCCTCATGACAACCCTATAAAAGGTGCTGTTATTCCTCATATTTGCAGTTGTGGATACTGAAGCACAGAGAGACCAAGCAACCTGTCCAAAATCACAGAGCAATGAGGACCAGACCTGGAATCTGAAAGCAGGCAGTCAAGACCCCATTGATCACCTCTAAAGGCAGTAGCCAGGGCTCATGGTGTGTAGAGGACCCAGGGGAGACCATGTGGCCCAGAAAGGCTGCCATGATCCCTCCCCTCTTACATAGGATGCTCCAGGCCTGGGCTAGGGAGGAAGTGGGACCCAGGGAAAGCAGCAGAGAGCCTTGTTCTGAGATGCAGCCTCATGTTTCTGGGTAACTCTGAAGGACAGGGTCTCTGACCCAGTTTGAGGGCTTCCTGCCTTCCCAGAGCCCTGCCAGGGCTGCAAGAGAGCAGTGAGCACTTAATTAGTGTGGCCTCTTTCTGACTGGGAAGGCACTGTCAAGTGGGCTGGGTTGGCCTGAAATCCTGCTCGAGGCCTCAGCCCTGGGCCCTGGGGCTCTCTGTCTCTTGGGCTCTGTCCCCTTGGCCCAGCCATGATGCAGAATGGCCTGAGTTTTCAATTCCCTCCAGCATGCTCTGCCCCATCAGGGCCCCGTGGAGGAGGGAAGGGGCTCTGCTTCCCACACAGGGCCCTGAAAGCACCCAGAGGCTGTCACTCAGTGGACGCCCCGCAGCAGAGGGGACAGAGCAGGATTTGGACCTGTGAGTCCTCTACCTTCCAGCACAGTCTTCTCCCTGCCTCTCCCTTGAGGATATCACACCCCTGGAGGGGGTTGCTTTTGGTTTGGAAGAGAGGGTGATCGATTGTTAAGGCTAGGAGACCCCAGAGAACCCCAGAAACTGACCAGGCTGTGCTGTCTTGGCTGAGTGTGGGTAGTGAGAGGGACTTATGGGCTAGTCTGTTTAGCTGCTCGGTGACCTTTGGCAGGTGGCTTGCTCTCTTTTTCATGGCCAAATATTCCATTGTATAGATAGACCACCCACCCACATGCATTCACATGTACACACACACACACACACACACAGGCTGCAGCCCACTTCAAGGTCAAAGCAATGACTCTAAAATACATGGGGCTCTGGGCTCCTTTGGCTATCAGGATGAAGCAGGTGTCACACGGACAGTGACCTAGGAGATGGGGCTGGTTAAAGATCCTCTACTTAGAGAAGATCAGTGTCCTGCATGGTCCAGCCAGGAAGCACGAAGGTACATGGGCCAGGCCCTGGGCTCTGGGGTGAGACCATGTGGGCTCCAATTCCAGCTCCCAGCTCCTAGTGGCTGTGGAAAGCCTTCTCGTTCCCTCTGTGCCTCAGTTCCTCCTTGGGTTAACTGGAATCCTGCTACCTACATAGAAGGATCAATTCCCAGAACAGAGGCAGATTCCCAAAATGTGGTGGCCCTGAGAGATCTTTAGTCTTTAATCCAGTGGTTGGGAGTGATGCAGGGTCTGGGCTGCCGACCTCTTACCCCCTCCCCTGCTCCCCATGCGCTCACAGCAGGGCTTGCCTTCTATGCCTAGAAATCTACACACAGGTTGTTTTCTGTCTGGGCCGGTGATTGTTTCCATTTGTTTCTGTTAAGCCCACAAGGGGAAGGCTGGCTTGGCTCAGGTCGGTGTGCCTGGCCTGCTCTGCATGAACAGCAGCACACACTCTACGCCTGCCTTTGATCCCAGCACTCTGCAGAGGGGCACTCACGCCCCCTTTATGTGTCCAGAATTACAGATTCCCAGGGGCTCTGAAAAAGAATGCAGAGTAGCTGCATGTGGTAGCTCATACCTTTAATTCCTGGCAGAAGGCAGGCAATCTCAAATTTCAGTCCACTCTAGACAGTAAAACTCCAGTGAGATCCCCTCTGCCCGCCGCCCAGTTGCTGCCCATGGGAACACCTTGCAAAACGATCATATTGCAACCAGGAAAACCATGGGAATGCGATTCACCGATTCTGTTCAGATTTTGCCTGTTTTCCATAACTCTGTGTGTGTGTGTGTGTGTGTGTGTGTGTGTGTGTGTGTGTGTGTGTCTCTGTGAAATCTTTAATGATCCGTGTAGATTTGTGTGACCACCATCACAGAATGATATATTTAAAAAAATATTCTGGGTTAAATAAAACGGTTGCTCAGATTTCCTGTTTCTTTTTACCTTTTTGTTTTGTTTTTGTGGTATTATCAGAAAAATTAAATGATAGCTACTCAGGAAGCTGAAGCAGGAGGAGGATTATGGGGTGGAGAACAGCCAGACCTATAAAGTAAGACCCTTGCCTGACTAAATTAAAAATAAATGATATTAATAGGGTTGGGATGTAGCTCCATGGCAAAGCACTTGCCTAGCAAGTAAAATAGCCTGGGTTCGATCTCTACTACCAAAAATATTACAGTTAAAAAATATTAATAAAGTGACTCTGTGACCCATATGGAATTTCTATTGGATATCACTGATTTAGATATCACCTATTGGTCTAGAATGTTCTCTCGTGCCTTTCCCAGAACTTAGGCAATGTTCTAATATATATACATATATGTATATATGTATACATATATATACACATATATATACATATATATGTATGTATGTATATATATATCCACTAAAAGTTATGTATTTTCAAGGCAAAATGCACATAATGTAAAGTGAGCCATTTAAAAGTGAGTGTTGACATTCAATATCTTCACAACATTGTGCCAGCACTTTACCTAGTTCCTAAGTATTTTCTTTT